TACAAAACAGATTGAAAAATAAAAGTCATTGTTTCGAATCACTTATAATCTCCATATGAAGTCCAGTTTACCGAGGTTATATACTCCTACTATTAGTTCGCCCTCTATCTTCTTCAAATTTTCAATCGTTCAAAAAATACTTTTTATTCATCCCCTCAAATACGTTTTTCTTTAAAACTTGTAGTTGTTGTTGTTGTTGTTAATTTACGTCGCACTAGAACTGCACAATGGGCTATTGGCGACGGTCTGGGAAACATCCCGGAGGATGATCCGAAGACATGCCATCACAATTTTGATCCTTAAAACTTGTAGTGGATGAGACTTGATGTCAAGACAGTTTTTTTTTTCCATATGTTAAAATGTCCCGCAGTGGACTGATCGATAAGACACGGTTCCCAGCAGATCACTGGCTGCTGTCAGTGTGCGGGTGGGTGACCACTTGGATCAGTCTGTGTAGGGACCGAGGGTGTGCGGTATGGGTCCTCGTTAAACTGTGGTACCCTAAAGTGCTCGACTTCGCGCGCAGGTTGCCGGGCTACCGAAGCGGCGGGATGTCATCCCCTCCGCAGAGGATCAAAATTGTGATGGCATGTCTTCGGATCATCGTCCGGGATGTTTCCCAGACCGTCGCCAATAGGCCAGTGTGCAGCTCTAGTGCGACGTAAATTAACAACAACAACAACAAATATTAATTGATTCATTAAATAGGGATGAGCGAAAAACGAAATGGAATTTTCTGATGGATTAAGCGTTAGTCATTGTATTGAGTATAGTTAAGAGCGGCGAGCTCTCTGCTTATCGCTTGTAATTCTGCGTTTTGTTAGTCATTGTTTTCATTTTATTGGAATTACATACATTTGCAGGCTTGAGTGCTCAATCTAGGCTTATAAGCCTTTGTCAATAGAAGGACAGATATCACAGTACAGAGAAGGACAGCGGGATTCGAACCCGGTTCCTCCACGCTTAGTCATTGTTTTATATTTTACTATAAGCAGAGTTTTCTACATATTTTAAAAACTAACATCAGTGTGGAAATTTCGATTTGAACAAATGAATTGTTTATTGCGCACATTTAAATATTTAATTATTTTGTATTCGCTCTGTTAGATAAATTCAATAAAGTGGTTCCACGTGTGGTCCACATCACCTAATTCACTTTTATAGTAAGGCTCCTATACTTCTATTTGAGGGACTCTATTTGATAGTTGACTGATAACACACGCCTTTTTTTTTCCCTTCCCCTAACTCCTAATATTAGTTTCACACTCTCCCTGTGTACATATTTATATATCAATTGTTCCATCACTCATAAAATTCATTCCCTCAAGTTCAAATGCATTTTTTTAAACTTGCAATGACACTCGATGTTAACACAGTTTTTTCAAACATTAAATTAAATTTAATGAATTAGTTTTATTTGGGAGAAGATTTTTTTTTAATTACTTAATAATAAGTAACTAAAATAAAATTTTTCTTTGTTATTACTACTTGTTTATAATTAGTGCAGGAGAAACAATCAGAGATTGACGACATCAGCAAATTGGGATTTTAAAAAATTACTTTTCTTTGTAATTTGAAAGAAAGAATTGAATGATAGAAACCTGATTGTAATATAAAAAATGAATGAAATAAAATTGAAATAATTTTCAAATGAAAACTTGCAATAAAGTTTAACGCTCAGTGATTAAAATCTGAAAAGTCAGTTTACGGTGAGATAAACATCTATGTCACTATTATTTTTTTTAGTTACTAATTTTATTATTTGGAAAAAAATTAATGTAAGGCAAAAAAAAAATATAAATAAATAAATAAATAAAGAAGTTTTGTGGTTAGTGTATCAGTAAAACAATTTGTCGTGGGAATATAATAAATAATTATAGTAACATAGTATTAGTTCGTATAATTAGCATATTTGTGCGTTTCAGTGGCGTAATTTTAAAGTATGTTTGGAGGAGGTTTAACTCCTTGTGAAATTATATATATATATATTTTTTTTTTCTTCTCCAAATGCTTAAATAGCAAAAAATCAATACACTACATCCTATTTACTGCACAATTTAATCAAGTGTAATTTTGGTGGGCGTTTTGTCCCCTAAGCCCTCCAAAAAACTGCGTTTAGTAATTATCGTAATAATTCTCTTCTGGGAGTCGTAAAAATTCGCCAAACTATTATTAACCCGAATGATATTTGAGTAAGTAAAAAAAGAACTGATTGTTTTCTTCAATGTTGAAAATTATTAAGGAGTTTGTCTCCAAAATAAATGAATAATTCAAAATTTGGATAAATATTTTAGATCAAAATAAAGTAGTACCGTTATCAAGAATTGCGCTAAAGACTGCGTTAGCTGTCTTTTTTCTGATACGGAAGGTCGTAAAAAAACCTTTTACTACAAGATCTATATTAGTAAATTAGATAGCCCAAAACTCTTTTCCACAGTTGTTATTGGCCATTAAGGCACTGATGGTACGATTGTTCTTGTTGTCCAGTGGCGCCATCTGTGGCTGTGTGTCACGCGCGTTTATAGGGCGGATTCATTCATTCATCCACTGATCGTAATTTTGACCTGAACTAGAGAACGATCCATCTCCAATTCATTACTCCCAGAGATGTAATTTGTTATGGGAAGATGGAGGACTTTGCGACCTGACAGATTTAACGAGAAGCAGTCACCATTTATTACACGGGGAGTCTTCAGATGGCTGGATTCGAACAACTGTTCTCACGCAAGCGAGTCCAGTGTTCTCCATCCCGGTCCTATTACCACAGTTAATTAATCATTATTGAGGAGTCACTATGGCCCAGGGGATAGAGCATTTGCCTTCCGAAGAGATGAACGGGGTTCGAATCCCAGCAATGACAGATCGACGCGAATGCGTAACCGGCATGCACCGACTACATTGCTGACGTGAAATATCCACAATTCTCATGGGTAGACGGATCATGGGTTAGAGTCTCTTTGCAGTCAGGCTAACCATGTGAGATTTTCGTATTTGTCCTCTTTATATAAAGAGTTAGTTCCATCGAAAAGTCCTCCATGAAGGCACATTTCTCCCACTACTTGATCCAGGAGTTCCCTTGTCTTCTGGATTTGGTTCAAAATGACAAGGCAAAGGAGTTGAACATTAGTATTCGTAAACCCAAAAATTGGGTTGGCTGTTCAACGACTGTAATAAAATAAAATAAAAATCATTATTGACATCAATAATGGTTTGTGGATTTTTTTTTCTTCCGAATGCTAGAAACGGAATAGTTAAATTTTAACACTCATATTGCAAAAGAAAAAAAGAAATCTACGTACTAAGTTCGAATTCCGCTCTTTATGTAAGCCATTCACTGCACGAATTGATAAAACGGGAAAATAGGAATTCCGATGAAATATTTTTTTCAAATTCCCCTATATAATATGAATTTTTAATAAAAATTCTGAGGTCATTTGAGAGATTTATTGTGACCGTAAAAATCGATTGAAACAAATATTTTGGCACCTGAATTCAAAGTGAATCGATGCTTGCGGTGAACGGCTCATATATAAAACACAATGTTTGTTATGATTCAGATTCTGAACTAATTCACGTCCCGCAGTGAACTGATCGTTAAGACACGGTTCACAACACCGAAGTCAAGCATCACAAGCTACGATCAGTAAGCGGGTAGGTAACCACTTTGATCAGCCCGCGTAGGGATCGAGGCTGCCCGGTATCGGTCCTCGTTAAACTGTTCTACCGTAAAGAGCTCGACTTCGCGTGGAGGTCGTCGGGCTACAGAAGAGGCGGGATGTCACCCCCTCTGCAGAGGATCAAAATTGTGATGGCATGAGTTCGGATCATCCTCAGGGATGCTTCCCAGACAGTCTTCAATGGCCCATTGTGCAGCTCTAGTGCGACGTAAATAAAGTACCTACTTACCTATATATATTCTAAACGCTTAAATCACAAAAAAATGAATAATGAAAACCTTCTACATCCTACTTGCCGTACAATAGTTCATTATTCAAGTAATGTGTAATTTCGAAGGAGATTTGTCCCCCGAACCCTCCCCATAACTGCACCATATACTCCCCATAACTAACTTTCTTCACCGATAACTTTTATGCAAATGATCGGATTTTCATGTAATAAGTGTAAACATTTTTTTCAAAATGATTTTGCTCTTTGATCATCAAGAAATGGGGGGGGGGGTTCGCACTTCTCTCCAAATCAATTTTATATTTTTAAAAATTAATGTTATACCAAAACATTAAAACTTTTAAGTAATGAAAACTAAAACTTCCTTAAATTGTTAAAATAAAGTATGTAACAAAATAGTATGTTCAGTGTCAGTAAAATACACTTTTTTTATATAGTAAAGAAAGTTTAAAAGCTTTAGTTGAAGATTTAAGACTAAGTTTGCCAAACAAGAGATTTAAAAAAAATCAGTTAAATGTAATGTAAATCTTATACAAATAAAGTTTTTGTGCCCTACTAAATTTCAAAATATTTATTTTTATGAAGTGGTTACTAAAACAATTTAAGTGATAACTGTGATAAAAAGAAAAGAAGTATAGTTTTAATAAATAATTTGGAAATATCCCAAGATTTTTAAAGAAAATCAGAAAATTTTTTGTAGGATAGCAATTCTTAAAAAGTTGATGCAAATTAAAATTTTCATAGAGTGGGGGACAGATTTATATTTTCTATAGAATTCATAATTTCTTCAGAAAATAATGAAAAAAAAATCATTACTGCAGAGGCATTCCCCTCATATATAACTATAATTGACACAGTCTGATATTGCTCAATGCTTTTAATTATGAAAACAAGTGATAAGGTCATCATGATTTAGGATTTTAAAAAAAAAGAAGAAAAAAACGTTATTAAAATCTTGAGGAAACTATAATTATATAAAAACTTTACAGTACTTATATTAGGTATTAAGCGTTTTTGATGCAAAAGAAACGAGAACAAACGGGAAACAAACAGACAAGACAACTCCTTAAGATTTGATTGGTCCATTCATTTCTAAGTGGCGTCAAAGACCGCTTTTCTTCGGATATTCTTGGGCAAATTAATGAAAACAAAATAGTTCTTCTTTGTTTTGATAACTAACAATTAACTGACCGTCATATTTTAGAGAACTTGATGAATTTATGTTTCCCATCCGAGATTGTGTTCTATTGTGGTAGAATAAAACTGCCCCTCAAATACCGGAACGAAAATTAATTATAGAACTACTTTTGAGACTTCGGTCGATGGACTATGAGTGGTTGATAGGGGAATATAAATAAATGTTTACATTTGCCTCGTGACTGTTGTGAAGGAAAGAGGAGGCAAGAATTTATTCGCATTCAGTTTTTGTTCATCCAAAATGCCGAGAGACAAAGCTGCCGAACAATTAAGCGAATACAAAGAGAGCCAAAAGGTATTTATTTAAATTTATTATTTTGTTTCAGATTAAGAAATAATTTTTGCATCTGTTTTTTTTTCCCTTCTCAATTGTGCTATTAATACGCAAGCGAATTTCATAAACAAATAATTTAAGTATCATTTGTTTCTTATTGCATTTCGTATGTTTGCATTAATTTATGATTTTATTTTATTCCTCGCTATCAGGAATTAAGAGTGAATAGCAAGAAGTATAAGGTAAAGAATTTATGTTCATCATTCTATTATTGTCATTGAAAAACAAGCATGGATTAGATTTTTCTGTTGAAAAGCTATTTTTTTTTAAAAAATAACATTTAACTATATTTCAGTGTCATCTTGATATATTGAGTGCTTTGCTACATTCAAAAGCATTAATGAGGTAGTTTTTAAATTTTATTTTTAGAATTTTTTTTCAATTAAATAATGCAACCAAATAAATAATACATAAATGCAAAACGAATTTTTGTATGTATGCAGTATGTGTTTAATAATTCTAATATTTTCAAAATACAATGCTTATATAAAAGAGGATAATTCAAAGATATTGAAATATATTCAAAATTCATTTAAAATATAATCAATGTTTATTATATTTATTGTTGCATTATAAGCATATTGATATGCTTAAAGCATCATCATGTTAAAAATGACTAAAGTATTCTAATTCTTATTTATTGATAAATCAGTAGTTTTTAGATTTATTGTTAAATCTGTAATTAACCGAGTCTAATATTTCTCCAAAACAGATTTTTTTTTAGTTACTATGATTATTTAAAGTTATATGTTGATATTATAGTTTGTATATTATTATGCTATGCATGTTGGCAGATATGGTATAAGTATTTTCAAAATCTCCAGTTATTCTTTTTTTATTGTGTTAGCATGTTTATGGAATGAAAGTAATTTTTAATTGTTTATTGATAAAATTATAGTTGACATTTTTTTTATTATTATAGCTTATAACTTAAATACTTTTAATTTACAATGTAAATTATTATTTAACCTTAAAATTGTTTAGACGTTTTTTTTTTTAAATTTTTTTTTCCAACCGTGATTTTATATTTTATGAGTAGAACTGTGAATTCAGACTTATAAAAATATTTTTAGGGCAAGAGTGAAGTATTAACAACAGCTTCTGGATGTCCTATTGGTGATAAATTGAATTCTTTGACCATTGGCCCAAGGGGTCCTCTACTGTTGCAAGATGCTGTCTATTTGGAAGAAATGGCTCACTTTGATAGGTATGTTTCGAAACATTGCATCCAAATTTCTTACTAGACGTTAGAAGAAACTAGAAAGAAATGAAAGAAACTAAAAATGACCAATATAATTGTTTAGCAATAACTATTATGATAGCTCAAACTAAATTTAATGCAATATTAATTAACTTGATACTTAATTGTTTGTAATTATTTAATTATTATTTAATAATAATTTAATGGAAATTAATTCTGATAGAGAGAGTCAAATTTTCTCACATTTACTTTTTTAAAAAAATTAACTTATTTATTTTAAAATCCATATCTCATATTTAAGAGTTAGTTTGCGTATTCATATTTAAACAGCATTTGATTATAAAGAATGAGTATGCTATTTGGAATTCAATGTGTGTTTTAGTAGTGTCTATGTTTAGTATGTGATTTGTTAATTTAGTGATACTATATTAATAAAATTTGATTATGTTATTTTAACAGTTCTTTATGTAACTGTAAATTTAGATTTGCAATGCTCATTTACATAAAATATGGAGAAAAAAATTTGATTAAGGAAGTTTCATAATTTTTTTTTTCTCCAGTTGTTGCCATTTAGTTTTTACTTGTTTAAAAATTATATGTGTACTAAACTGGTTTTGGACAGAACACCTGAGTTTTAGTGTCCTAAACTGACTAAAACTTTCCTCAACTGTACAAAATCTTGAACATTAGTAAAAGGTAAAAATTCTATATGTGTAACCATTGTATGCATAATAATTACATAGGTTGATGAATATTTGATACTTTTTATACAATTCGCTTAGTAACTTATTAAAGGAAAATAATATAACAGGAAAAGATTTATAACTTTTGAAGCTCCACTATTCATTGAACAAGAAGAGTGAATACCTTATTCTTCAAATATGAATAAATAAGCTTTTAATGCTGATAAATTATGCTTTTGCATAAGGATAAATAATACTATATTAAAAGTAATAATAAACTTTTTTAATAAAACAAAAACTTGTCTTCATTTTTTTTTCTTGTTCAAAATTTAACCTTTTATTTTTCTCACTATTTTTTTTCTTCAAATTGTGACATAATTTGATTAAAAGGGTTTTGTACAATTTGAGCAAGAAGGTTTTGGACAGGCCGGTTTAAACCATGGATTAATCTATTCTGTCCTTGTCTATTCTGTCTGAATTGCTTCTTCTACTTGGGTTTGAAGAATATTCCTCCATGCTTTTTTCCATTGTAAAAAAGAAAAAAGAAACTGTCTGTTTTATATAAAAAAATGTTCTGTATTTAAATTGTTTGCATAATTTACTAAATTGAATCTAATTATAATAGTTCAGACTATAAAGAGCTTTTATAAATATCATTGATCAATAATTCCAGGGAAAGAATCCCAGAGAGAGTTGTGCATGCGAAAGGTGCAGGAGCTTTTGGTTACTTTGAAGTGACTCACGATATCACAAAATACTGCAAAGCTAAAATCTTTAGTGAAATAGGAAAAAAAACACCACTTCTTGTCAGATTTTCTACTGTTGGTTTGTATTTTTTTCAATCACTCTCTGTTCTGAAATCTAATGACCAGATTTCCAGGTAATGACTTAGAAAGTTTGAAACACAAATCAGGTGCAGAAAACGAAGAATTTTAAAGATAATAGCAAAACAACAGGGGAGACACCAACATACAGGAGCCTTTCTGTCGTCAGTGGTAATAACAAAAACTGACTGTGGCCTGAAGGACCCCCATAATGGATAAACAAAATAAGAACAAGCAATTAAAAAATCAAAAATTGAAATGTGCAATGAAAAATTAATAGCGTTTAAAGTTTGCGTTTCATCATTCGGTCTTATTCTGTGTACTTTTGAATTGTGTTTCATTAATTTTTCATTGCATTTACATTTCAATTTTTAATTTTTTAATTGCTTGTTCTTATTTTGTTTATCCATTATGGGGGTCCTTAAAATTTTATTTTAGTTACTTTTTATTAAATAATTAAAATTATTTTTCTAAATTTAATTCTAAATCTAATCTAAAATCCACTTCAAGTTTAAAAAAATGTATTTGAATTTGAGTGGAAAGAACATTTTTTCTATTTCCAACTGTTCAATTATATAATGATTAAAAATAACTTTTTTAATTACGATACTTTGAAGGCAATTGGTATACCACCAAACAGCCACGTGTGTCTCCATCTATATGAGGATATTTATATCCATTGTTGAAGGCTTTTTTTAAAATTTTTTTTAGTATATTGTTTTTTGATTAGATATTTTTTTATTGGCTGTGAAGAATAGTTCTTTAGTTAAAGTATTTTTTGTATAACTCAAGGTGGAGAGTCTGGTTCGGCTGACACCGTGAGAGATCCTCGAGGCTTTGCTGTGAAGTTCTATACCGAAGATGGGAATTGGGATCTAGTTGGAAATAACACTCCCATCTTTTTCATCAGAGATCCTCTGCTCTTTCCTAGTTTCATCCACACACAGAAAAGAAATCCTGTCACTCATTTAAAAGTATTTAAACAATCATATTCTTCCTGATTATCATTTTTTTTGAAGTTGGAATATTTACGCTACAATAGTATGCCTCACATTTTTGTTTAAAAAAAAATAATATTAACATGGATGCCATTCTTCAGTCCTGGGGACTGGAATCCCCCGTGGCAGAATCTTGGCGACATTGTCGCAGGACGTTACCAAGTTCTTGCAGAAAGATTTTTCCTTTAGGAAGTAAAAAATTTTGGTTTTCTTTTCTGCAGAAATTTTTAAAAGATTTTATCTTTTCTTCAGAATTATATTCAAAAGATGCCTTTCTCGTGTAACGGGGTGGAAAAAAAATGCTTATGATTTTTCTATTCTCATTTAAGAATAATTAAAAAATAAAGAATATGAAGTAAAAAATGTTCTTTTCTGTAGAAATTTTCATTCTATTTTTTCAAGCAGTTATACCTACTGATTTTCACATAGCTTTTTAAATCCAATATTTTTAATACAATATTATTTATTACAACTGAATCTCTGAATGAAAACCCGCATTTAGTGCAACTCTTTTTTGAAGAGTCCGATTCGCGTGATTTAGCAGTCTATCTTTTCTTTTTTTAAAATTTTTTTTTTTGGGTGGTTACTGCTACTGATCTGATTTCGCGATTTTTTTGATTTTTTTTAAATGTTATGATGAATTACAAAATGTTAAAAGGAAATAATTAGTGTGTTATCTTCTCACAAAATGCGAGAATATCGCCCATAATATTAGAATAAAAATATTACATATTCAATTTAAAAAAAAAGCACTTTATTTGATCCGATTTATTAATTTTTTTGGCTTAAGTTAACACTTCTGTTACTTTAAATTAGTAACAATTTATATTTGTTATTTTTAAAAGTATCTTGCAGAAAGATATTAGTATTAGAGAAGTATGTTGCAGAAAGCCCTAAAAAAATTCTGCCACTGGGTTGAAGTCAGTCTTGGGAAAAAATCAGTGAACTAAATTCCATCAATTATTTCTTTCCCCAATTGTTTTTTAAATTAAATTTTCTATTTCTTTAAAAATGTGAATATTTTCTGTTAAAATTAAAAAAAAAAGAAAGAAATTTTAATGAAAAAGCTATTTATTTTACTTTTATTGTAAATAATCAATTAATGTCACACTGCAATGAAAAAGTAGGATTGATTGAACTTTTAACATTTGCTTGTATAAACAAAATTTGTACTATTATTGAATATAAATCTGATTTAATTTACACTTTTCCCCGACGTTTTGAAATGCTAGCCAAAGTTAATTTACGATTATTATTTATTTTTTTCAAAGAAAAGACATTTATAGAGGTAAGAAAAAATAGAATGGTGAAAGGAAAAATAACAGAAATGAGTGGCTTTCAGAAAAAGTTGCCGGTTTATATCAGTATATTTTTTTGGTGATTAGTGTGAAAAAAGATAAACTAGGTTAGCTGCAATTTATTTTTGTTTTGTTTGCTGTAAAAAGTAAATTAATAAAATAGAGAAAAATATTGTTAATTGTTTTTAGAAGAAACAAATTATTGATTTAATATAGGAGCCATTATCATAGAAAGGTGAATTTTGGAGTCTGTTATAAATTTCTGAAAATTCTGGTAAACTATGCCAGACTGTGTTAGTCAAAAAATAACTTCCGTCTTGAAATATTTTTAGAGTGGCACCCATGAGAATAGTGAATTAAAAAGAAAGTTAAGATATTTATTCCTTTAAGACAATTAAGTTATAATCACCACTGTAAAGCATTTCCTCTAAACTGAAGGTTGAATAGAATACATACCAAATAAAGTAGTATAAATGTTTATTTAAAATCAAATATATTTGACCTGATAAAACATATTATAACAGGTTTTTAACTCATTCAACCCAGGTATCATTAAGCTGCTAAATCCTTTAAAAAAAATTGGTCTCAAGAATTTAAAGTTAGTTTGAAATGTTATAAAAATGTGCAGTAAAGGATAAAAACCTACTTTAAAATTATAATTATATTAAAAAAAACTCAAATTATTTAGGAGCATTTCTTATTTNGGAACAGCCAGTTATTAGTTATTGTAATGAAATTCTTATAACCGCCTCCAAAACCACTGTGTGGCATTTGCAAAATTAATAAATAGAAAGTGATTTTGGAAAGCAAACATATAAATTTGTATTTATCAAATGGGTTTTTCATTAATTTTCTGCTAAGTGGAGTATAATTTTTTTCAGGGCATCATTTCAATTCATATTTTTTAATTTTGTTTACTTTTTTACTCCTATTGACCCATATTTAAAAGTGCATGTGTAACTAAATAATCACAGTTGATATACAATGTCTAGTTTTTAATTTTTATATGCTTGAATGCAGAGGAAGTTGATTTACATGCTTTTGGTTTAGTATGGATATTAGAACGGAACACAGTAAGAAGACACAGAGTTCTGCGAGACACTGGTCCAGAGATCTCATTTAAATGAGATCTGTGACAGCTCAGGGGATAGAGCGTTCGCCTTGCAGCAAGGTGAAGCAGGTTTGAATCCCAGCAATGGCTGGTCGATGCGCGTCCGGTTTGAACCGACCACAGTGCTGACTTAAAATATTCTCATTGGTAGAAGGATCATGGGTTATAGTCCCCTTGCCGTCAGGCTAACCAAGGGTGGTTCTCGTGGTTTTCCTCTCCATGTAAACCAAATGTGGGTTAGTTTCATCAAAAAGTCCTCCATGAAGGCAAATTTCACCCAACATGTGATCAAGGAGTTCCCTTGTCTTCTGGATTGCATTCCAAAATGACGCGGCTACGGATTTGAACATTACTAGTCGTAAACCCGAGAAATCGGGTCGGCTGTTCCACAACGGTTGTAAAATATTAATATAAATTAAACTGAAATCTAGTTTATTAGATGATAGTTAAGGATTTTGATTTTTAAAAACTATTAATTTTTTATTTGTAGCATTTTAGATTACAAAATCAACTGAATAAAAAACTATGAAGAATTGTCTACTTCATTAATGTATTTTACGTAGCTGCCAACTCTACTGGATTTTCCAGTAGACTACTGGATTTTGCCAGTTTCTCCTGGTCTACTGATTTAATTAAAATTATCCTGATTTTTGTACATTTTAGAAAATTCTCTAAAATTGAATAAGTTTCCTTAAAAAAAAATTCCTATTGAAATCTGATTTTTGTACAGATTATTGCTTGCTAGCTTGAATATTTAAATAAATATTGCTAATACATAATGAAGCAAACCTCATTTATTGAAAATTCAAAACTTTTTTTTTTCTAAAATGTTCAGTTTATTTCTATTCAGAACTATTTTTTAAAATTAATTAAAAAAATCTTATAACTATTTTTGATGAGTTGAATAAATATTAATATTCGAGATTATGAAAAAATTGTAATTGTTAACATTGTTTTGTCAATCATAACTGGAAAATATTGCTGTCTTTCTATTTTGATGACTATTAAAATCCCTAAAATTCTCAATTTTTAAAATATTTAGTACATTATGCAAAAATTATGAAATTTTATTACTTTGTAAAAAGAATTTTTTCCTATAAATGTTGGCGGCGATGATTTTAGTATGTTTTAAACATTAGATTATTGCCACTAAGATATGTTCTTTCCTCATAGGATGTTGACATGTTTTGGGATTTCATCTCATTGCGACCTGAAACTACCCACCAGGTGTCCTTCTTGTTTTCTGACAGAGGTATTCCTAATGGTTACAGACACATGAACGGTTATGGATCACACACTTTTAAACTTGTGAATGATGATGGTGAAGCTGTTTACTGCAAATTCCACTACAAAGTGAGTTTTCACATTTTTTTTACAGGGTGCATAATAGCCCAGTGGTACACAGTTCTTGCAGAAAGATTTTTCGGTTGGGAAGTAGAAAAAATAAATTGATTTGCTTTTTTGCAGAAATCTACGCATAAAATTTGAATTGTGCATTTAAATAATCATGAGCGCTCAATCGTAAATCCACTTTGATTGCATTTTTGGCAGTTATTGATTTCCACGTTTCTTTTAGGTATATATTTCAGGCATTATGGGGAAATTCGAATCTTGCATTTGTTAAGGCAATTATTCTATCGATTTTATGTGGCAATTATTGCTTTAGATGCCCACTTTGTTTTTTAAAACACAATAATTTTTATGGGATATTATTTATTACGACAATTAAATTTTGAAAGGAAGCAAACATTTGAGCAACCCCTTTCTGAAGAGTCATGATTCACGTGATTTAATGTTTTTTGGTCATGACTGCAACCGATTTCATGGTATTTATTTATTTATTATTTTTTTTTAATGTGGTGATGATTTACAAAATGCGATAATGGAAATAATGAATGTGTTCCCCCCAACAAAATGCGAGAATATCCCCTATAATATTAGAATCAAAATTATATTGTTTTGTTGTTTTTGTAACCTTAAAATAGTAGCATACATCTTTATTATTATTGAAAGTATCTTGCTGAAAGGAATGAGTGCCAGAGAGTTTCGTCGCAGTAAGGCCATAAAAATTCCAGTACTTCGGTGCATAGCATTTTCAAAAAGTGCTTAATGGTGCTTATTTTCAATTTTCATTTTTTTTAAAGCCCTTAGAGATGCTTTTTTTTTACTGTCTGAAAAACTGAAGTAGACCTATAATTTTTGCCTATAATTATACATTCCTCGCAGCTTAAAAACACAAAATGGATTTATTCAAATCGTGGAAGAACGAGTGTCAAGGTTAGACATATATATCTTCTTCCCACTTGAAAATCAAATAGAACTAACGAACCCTCTTGTCGGCTTTAAACTGAATATAAATCTGTGTCTTGGACAAGAGATTGTAAAAAAAGGATACTCTTACTGACTGTTGTTTTACACATGCTTGATATGGAAACAATGGACACCTTTTATCCTGAACCTCATTAGTTGAGAGTTTCAGCCTTTGCAATCTCTTCACTTTTTATATCCCTGTGGATACTGAAAATCGTGGAACTAGAGCATGGAAAATGTTTTGACTCCTGGTCTCTGATTATAAGTTTAGTCAATTTAACAGAGTTTCTTTTAATTTTTGCTATATTCGAAATGTTATTGATTCTTTTGATATAGCCTAATAATTTTTTTTTTTTTAATCCTAGAAGATTGAGCTTAGTAAAATTATCAGAATCTGGTTAAATTTACATCCTTTTTTTCATTAATTATATAAATTTAATATTTCTTTTCCATGAAGGAGCATTTAAATAAAATTATTGGTAACTGATGAAATGAAATGAATATTCTCTGTAGTTATTTTTTAATTTTTTAAAATTTAACTTACACATTTCCACTTTTTCCTCTTTTTTTTCCAATTCCTACTCTCCCTATTATCTTGTTCAAATTTTCAATTGTTCATAAAATACTCTTTATTCATCCACTCCAGTTCAAATAAATTTTTATTTATTTTTTAGTGGATGATGTTACTACAATTTTTTCAAATAATTAATTCATTAAATAGGGATAAGCGAAATGGAATTTTCTGATCAGTTGAGCATTAGTCATTGTTTTTAAATTTTACTATAAGGGATTCAGTTTTTCACATATTTTGAATAATTTCTTTCTATTTGAACAAAAAATATAGTTTATTGAGCACATTTAATTATTGTGTATTCGCTGTGGCATTCAATTATGAACATTACGTAGTCCACGAAATTCATACTTTGATAGTTATCTGATACCACCTATTTTCCTACTATTAGTTTACACACTTTCCCTCTCGATATTTATATACCTTGTTCAATTACATTAATTCATTAGTTAAATTTTAGATTAGATTAAGAACTGAATTTGGAGAAACTTTTTTAATTATTCTATGAAAAGTAACTAAAATAAAAATTTTCTTTGCTGTCATAAGTAGGAATTTATTTTAATTTTCTTTTTTTATATTACTTGTATGTAGTCTCCACTGGAATATAAAAGAAAAAAACTCTTACTCAACCTTTCTCTCTTACTGTCTGTTATGTTTCAGACTGATCAAGGAATCAACAACCTTCCCGTAGAGAAAGCCAATGAGCTGTCTGGATCAGATCCTGATTATTCTCTAAGAGACCTCTACAATGCAATAGCTGCTGGAAAATATCCATCCTGGACATTCTACATTCAGGTCATGACCTTCAAGCAAGCCGAAACATGGAAGTTCAATCCTTTCGATCTCACAAAGGTCACCTTTACTCTGTTTATATTTATTTAATGCCCATTTTTTAAGAAATTGTTGCAATGTCACATCAAGCTTAGTTGTACATTTTTCCTAGAAATTTATTTGCACAGTTAAACAAAGCACCGGAAATATAGATGCAACAATTTTCAATTATCTTAAAAAGTTTTGAGGTATCTTTGAAATAATACCACTCCACAGGGAGAACAGGAAAATACAGGGAATATTTAGTTTTTCTTTAGAAACTGGGAAAATACAGGGAAATCTGTTTCTTATTTTCGTCTTTTAAAAAATGGTGACCACTCAAAGTTACTAAAGAAACCAAAAATATGGTTTCAATTTTCATTAAAATTTACCTGGATGAGTCTGGGAATTTTTTTTTCTTTCTGAAATTGAGTGGGAACCCTGTGAATAATATTAAAAAATAATTGCCGAGCAAACAATCACATTGTATATTTTTGATGCTAGGAGATGAGGGATAGGATTACTCAAAAATCTCCTAAATCTGCTATCCAGATGATTAGAGGGGGCCCATCCATTACAGGCTTAGAAGCAGGTGACTTAATCAAGTTTTCCTTCCGAATTTAATACGGTCATCGACAGAGCCTCATCACTTTGCGATCTCCCCTTTTTTGATTAATAAAGATGAAATTTAATTCAAATTCTTAATTTGGGAAATTTGTTCTGAGGGGTCATCCTTTAATTGTACGTAATATTTAAGTTTTCTTATTTTTCTTACTGGATTTGTGATTTCAGTTCTCTTGAGATATTTTATGAATTCAATTATCATAACTGCCAATGCTACTGAATTTTGCAATGGACTACTGGTTTTCGCTAGTAGACTACTAGATTTTGCCAGTTTTTCTTGGTCTACTGTTTTAATTAAAATTCTCCTGGTTCTCATACATTTTAGAAAATACCATAAAATTGAGTCTTTTTTCTACAAAAATCTTTTTGAAATAGGAATTTTTGAAGTCATTGCTTGTTTGCTTGAATATTTTAATAATTATTACTAATACACAATGTTCTAAAATGCTCAGTTTATTTTTATTCTGAACTCTTTAAATTAATCGAGAAAAAGAAATCTTAACTATCTTTGATGAATTAAATGCCTATTACTATTCGAAATTATGAGTAAGCATAATGCATAACATTTCAAGTATATTTAATGTCTGTAAAATATTGCAGTTTTTCTTTTTTGATGACTGTAAATATCCCTAAAATTCCCTATGTGTAAAATATTTTGTACATTATGCAACAATTGTCATGATATTTATACTATTTCATAAGATCTTCTGTCCTATCCGTGTTGGGAGCTATGAATTATTCAATTTAGTTTTTAACAAAGTACGATTATAGCACAAATATCGGGGCCTCTCACTTATCTAATATTTTATGCAGCAACAAATTATTTTTAATGAAATTTTATAAATCAAAAATATTTAATTTCATTACCACTTTATTTAAGAATTATATTAATAATTATATTAATAATTCATTGATCACAGAAGTATGAATAATAGACCATAGAAAGACCATAAAATAATTAAATAATTTACTTAAAAAAGGTTAACAAAAAATGTTAAGTTACTCACAAATTTTATGTTTTCCAAAATGTTTTTTGAATTCTTTTTTTAATTATTTGATAAAAAATATTTATTCAGAACATTAATTTTAATAAAATGAATGCTAAGTTAAGGACCTATTATTCGAAAGGGTCGGAACCGAGGTCGATAGGGTCGACAAAAGAACATAGTAAGCACCTATCAACAGAAACTTGATAAAAAAATAGCTTGTATATTCTAGCATGTGTTTTGAAAGTTAATAAAACTGAAAACTGTTCTTCTAATTAAAGAAAAAAAATACAAAAAATATTCTTGGTACTTTACTTTAATAATATAGTATAAACTTGTTCCCCCTGCTTATTGAAATTATCTGGATTAGACCCAATTGGAGAGAAGGGGGCTTTTTTTTCGCATGACAGTTAAGTACAAAAAAAAAAGAAAAAGAAAAAGCAGTTATTCAACCCTATTTACAAAATCTAAATCTGGTTAATTGGATAATTTAGTTAGTGGATGTTCATTCTGTTGTAAATTATTGTCTTCTGTATTATTAGAAGGAGTAATAATTTTTTTTTAGTTAAGTTCAAATTACTTTCGATTCTCTCTTTTAACTTTTTTTAGGGAAATTGTTTTGAATTTTAGGACCAGTTTTTTGGCAGAAAAGTGGTGAGGAGTTTAAAAATTTTGTTTACACTATGAAATCAACCATACACTTAAATTGCTTTGCCAAATTTTCAAAATTCTGTGTTTATAACTACAAATAAATTTGATTACAAACGAACAAATGCACAAGTGAGATGAGCTCTCCAGTGTTAGTCTCTCTCCTGAAGACCCCATTTTAACCTTTACTGTTTTTACCTGTTATTCTATTTACATAACCTGTTACTGTATTTACGTAAACAAAGCATTTCATTAATTTTTTTTTCCTTTATGAAAGTATCAGCTGATGATATCAGCATATTTAATAGTTGGTAGGAAGTATAATTCCCTTATAAAGTGTTAAAAATAGTTTTAATCTTTGCAGTGATTTTAGCAATTAATGAATGCCTTGTTTATTTGAAATCTAAGAATGTAATCATCTATTCATATGTATATATATATATATTGAAAAGGTATTGGGAAAATTGTTTTTCTTTTTAAGTATGTATTAAATTCTAAAAATTTCCCCCCCTCAGTTTTCATGTGTCTAAATGTTCTAAATCCATTTGATTAACTGTTTTGTTTATAGTTCACATTTGTCTTTGACTGTGTACAATATATTTATTGTACAATATATTTATTATACAATATATTTACTGTACAATATATTTATTGTATAACATATTTATGGTACAGGTATGGTCCCACAAGGAATTTCCTCTGATTCCCGTAGGAAAAATGGTTCTGAACAGGACTCCCACAAACTATTTTGCTGAAGTTGAACAGTCTGCTTTCTCTCCGGCCGATTTAGTGCCGGGCATCGAACCCAGCCCTGACAAAATGCTTCAGGTAACTTTCAAGTTTCTCCACTCTCTTGATGAAATAATGTGAATGATTGTTGTTTTTTAATACCTGCAATTGTTGTTACTTTGTAGGGACGTTTGTTTGCTTATACAGACACCCACAGACACAGACTCGGCACAAACTACCTCCAGATTCCTGTCAACTGTCCCTACCGTGCGCGACCCAGAAATTACGAGAGAGATGGACCTCAGTGTGTGACTGAAAACCAGGGTAAACAGTTGCTAGGATTTTAATATTTTCACTGTACGTGTCCCAAAACTCACGGTACATACTGTCCCTGGACAAATTGTTAGACGGACTCTAAGATTCTATGTAATTATCAGGTGATACTATACAGCTTTATTGTCTTTACGTGACTGTTTACGTTCGGGTTGAATGAGACGACATATCATATAAATTCGACAGTTGGATACATTTTACCATTAAATGATATAAATATAGTATATTTATTATATCAGGTATTATATTAGTATATTATAATAATTAGACCCAATTATTAGACGCGCTGTAGTGTTTTTAATAATGACATATTTTACTCGAGTTTATAGGCTATACTTTTATATTTAAATTTGGATGTCATTGGTTTTTCATTGTTTCTATACACTTCCTATTTGTATTTATTTTTAAGGTGTTGCATTTCAATATTAACCCATTGAAACACGAACATAAACAAGTGCAAACCGGTTTCAGCAGTGTAAAAGCAATAAAGCTGTATAGTATCACCTCATAATTAAGAATTTACATAGAATCTTATAGTGGGTATAATTTGTCCAAGGTTAGGGCGTGAAGAAGGCAACTAGACAACTAAAACTAATAAATATAGTTAGCCCAATATAGCTGACACAAGAGCACAGTAATTGTTGTTGTTGTATAATATTTACAAGGAAAGCACAGGGACTTTTTTCTCTGAATTTTGTGGCAATTCTGTATAAACAATATGTACATAATTAAAATTGGTTCAACATTAAACAGTGTAGGCATTTAATGTAAAAGTGAGAACAAAAGTTGTTTCTAGCATACATCATAGCTATAAGAAGTCCCTTGCAATTTTAAAAGCAGTGTTATTTTAGAGAGTGACTTTTATAAATTATCTGATGAGTAAAACATTGCTTCTTTATATTTAAATGAACTGTCATTGCACAATTAAAATAAATAAGTGATTTTCATTTTGGGGGTATTTTATAAACTTTCTATTGTTTCACACCCTATAAAGTATGTAATTATTTTTATGCTAAGAGAATGTCATGTATATCTGAAATGTTATATTAATTACATATGTGTTTTTAAGAGATACAAGGCAGCAATTTTTTTAAAATTTAAGGTCAATTTTGCTTACTTAAAAAATCCTTTCAAATCTCAAAAATTTGCATATTTGTCTATGATACATAACTGCCAACTTTACTGGATTTTGCCAGTTTCTCCTGGTTTACTGGTTTAATCAAAATTCTCCTGGTTTATGTATAGTTTAAGAAATTCCCTAAAATTTAGTAAGTTTCCTAAAAAAAATTCCTATTGAAGTAGAACTTTTTTACTGACTATTGCTTGCTTGCTGGAATAATTACATAAGTATTACTAATACATATAATGAAGTGAACCTTATTTATTTACTTTTTTTGTTCTAAAATGTTTCATTTATTTTTATTCCAAACTCTCTTTTTAGATCAATTAAAAGAAATCTTTTAACTATTTTTGATGAATTAAATGCCCATTAATATTCCAAATTATGAATAAACACAATAAGTAACATTTCAGGTATGTTTATTCTCAATCATAACTGGAAAATATTGTAGTTTTTCTACTTTGACTTTAAAAATCCCTAAAATTTCCCTATGTGTAAAATATTTAATACATCGTTCCCTGATGCCAGAATCACGGCAGCATTGTCATAGAACGCTACAGTGTTCATGCTGAAAGATTTTTCTTTTAAAAAGAAAAAAATTTACTCTTCTACAGAAATTTACAATTTAGTCTTCGTAAAATTACCTAATCAATGTAAAATTTATGTAATATTTGAATCGTGCATTTATATAATCACATTTGGAAGAGCCCAATTTACGCCGATAGTATCGTAAATCGATGTAATGTTTCGATTGTATTTTCGGCAGTTGTCGATAGTGATTTTCACACGGTTTTTAAATATTCCGATATATTTCAAACAATATGGAAAATTCAAATCGCGCATTTGAGTATTTACTTTTTAAGGCAATAATTCTATCGAATTTTCTGCAGTTAAATACTATTGATTTCTCCATTATTTATTACATCAACCTAATCCCCAAACGAAACACACATTTGAGGAGTCAGATTTATGGGATTTCCTCGTTGCTCTTTTTACCGCAATTTTCAACCGATTTCANTTTTTTTTTATTACATGGAATGTGCTTTTATATATTTTTAAGTATGTACAACTAAAATATATAATTAAATTCGCTTGAAATTATTTTAAAAAAATTATTTCAAAGCATGACTATAAATTACAGAGCGACAATAAAAATCAATTTGTTTACAAAATACTGACTTGAAAAAAATGCGCCGAATCCGATGCACGTGCTTCATCGAAAAAGCAGTAAAGCATCAGAATGTTTATATCCATATGAAATTTAATTGTAATGAAAATACCTACAAATGTTAACCACATTATAATCTATTAATTTAAATTTAAAAAAAAAGAAATAGCTATTTTACTAGTTAAAAACCAATTTAATTCATTGCATAACCTGACTTACCTACAAATTGCAAATAAATAATAAGAATTTTATTTGTGAAATCTAAAGGGTCCTCCTTTTATGAATCTTTCTTCGCATCCATAAGGACAACAGTATTCGACTATTTTTATTGTTCAAAACTTCAGGAAAAATCGTCCCGGAATCACGTCTAGGGTATCTGCGCACCTGGAAAGTCATGAATTTCGATATTGAACAAAATTAATCATGAAATTTCTTGATATAAACTATTTTTTTAAAAAAAAAAGATCATGGAAAGTCACGGATTTAGGTCGCCGAAAAATCTTAATTTTTAAAATTGAATTACCCCCCATCAATTTCATGGTATTCCGAATATCTGAATCCCCACTCACAGTCATACTTTATTAAAATATAAAATGTTTTTATCATGTTCTTTAAGAGTTATGGTGTTCTTTCAAAAAATGAAAGAAAAAAGATCATTTTTAGAGCGAATTATCTTTTAAGCTTCTGCGATTTCAGAATTTTTATTATTATTTATTGTTTTATTTTAATTTATCAATTTAAAATTCTAGCTGAAGCAAGCCAGTCATTGGCAAATTTTTTTGTGTTCCGAATTGAGAACAGAATGAAAACGAAATGAGATGAACGAGAAAAGTAAAGTACAGAACCCGTTATCCGGAAATCAGAAAACCGGAAAACCAGAAAACCGGAACGAAATTCGATAAATTTTCCCGCCATTTTTTAAACAAAATTTTTTTTTCCTTATAAGATTTTAGGATTTTTCTTTCTTTTTTGAAAGATGTTCACCTTACCATCATTTTGGAAATAATCATTAGTGTATTACTTCATCGTTTTTTCTTCTTTTCAAGATTATTTCCTAAAAAAAAATTTTTTTTAGTTGGGTTTAACAATAAAAAAACGGCTTTTTGTAGCGATTCAGAAAACCGGAAAAATCAGTTATCCGGAATAGTGATGGTCCCGATCGTTCCGGATAATCGGTTCCCTACTGTATCTTTAAAATATAATTCTAGGGAAAAAAAGAAAAGACAAATATTTGAAATATGAAAAGAAAAGACAAATATCTAGAAATATGAGGATGCAGAGTATAACAATTTTGGTTATACCTATCATTTCAATTAATGTTGTTATGATGCTTTTTTAAATTTATTGTTGTGTTTTTATAGGAGAAAATAGTAACTTTGTTATGTCATGAAAAATTCTTGGAATGAATCTAAAATGTAGCAGATACCCTGTACAAAGTTATGTTTTAATAGAAATGTTGTTTCAGATGGTGCCCCCAACTATTATCCGAATAGCTTCAGTGGTCCTGAACACAATTCTAAATACAAAACAACACCTCACAAAGTGAGTGGAGATGTTGACAGGTATAACAGTGCTGATGACGACAATTTCACTCAAGCTGGTATATTCTACAGAGAGGTATATATTCACTTCTGAACAATAGTCCTTTGCGAGAATGTGACCACTATTCACAGTTATCCAGAAATTGATTATTCAAAGAATTAAAAAATAAAAAATATTTTTAAAAACCAAGTTTTTGTAGTGGAGAATAATAATTAAAAAATGAAAATTTGAAATACATAACAGTAATGTTATATTAGTGTGTGTATGTGTGCTCGTGAGAATATGTGTATGTATATCTGTAATTGTATCTGAATGTGTATGTGGAATATGTCTGTGTATATGCATGTGGATGTGGCTGCGCATGTGTATGAATAAGAAAATGTATATATATATTGTTATGTATTTCATGCGTCCCACGTTTTTCGTTTTCAAATTTTTATTTTTTAATTATTATTCTCCACTACATAAACGTGGTTTTTAAAAATATTTTTTTTGTTTTTTTTTTTATCTTTTTTTTTATCTTTTTTTTTGTTTTATTTGAAGTCTGTAGCTAGTCAAGAAGTTAGTTTAAAATCGATTACAAAATTCCACCCGAACAGACATACACGAAGACAAGTTAATATAAAAGTGGTGAAAAAAGTAGAAGCAGTTTATTTAATCCTTTGACGGTTAGGGAAATGAGCAGTTTCATTTACTTGATTCGCACAGTATTATGAGCAAACAGTAGTCGAAAGTGGCAGCTGTTTTCCCCCCGTCATTCTTCTGAAAATGTCAGCCTTCTCTGGCGATGCCATAGACAGCTGGCCTCATGCGTTTTAAAAATTTCTTAAATTATTTGTAGTACATAAATAACAGTTTTTACGTACTTTAAAATAATTACTAAATTATAATTGTTAATAGTAAATTATAAATGATTATAATCAATTATATAAATAATAGCTAATTTTAAATGTAAGACAAATATTAAATTGAAAGGACTAAATAAATACAACTAATGTAAAACTTTATGAAGCATTTAAATGCACTAATTACCTAAATATTGTTAACAAAGTCTTCATCAGACTCAAAACTTGATTAGCTGTATCATTATCATCATAATTATCTAACTTTCGCTTTTCAGCCATTTTACTTTACAAACACCCTAAAAAAGGTGCCAAAATACACATAAAAAGAACAAGGTAAAAAAATTAATTCCCCCTTCATTATGAAAATTTTTTTATTGAACCCATACTGCCATCTGTAGGCAGTAAAACTAACTACGTTTCGCAAGTAGGATTTGTTATTAACATAATCAATGCAGAATAATAATGGCGAACGAGCTTAGCTCGTCAGCGCGCACTCCGGAAAAATTTCACTGCGTGAGTAGTGCTGTTACTAACCATTACGGTCGAAATGTTGCTCCCAAGCGGAACTCGTTTGCACACATTATGAAGCACGATTCGCTTGCGAGCCGAACTCGTTCATGACCGTCAAAGGGTAAATCCCCAGTGGCAGAATCGCAAGGACATGGCTGCATTGTCGCAGAATGTTTTCTTTTGAAAAGTAAAAAATGTTATCTTTATTTTCAACGGAAATTTACATGTAATATTTGAATCATGCATCTAGATAATCCCTTTTTGACGCATTCAATTTACGACGATAGTATCGTAAATCGATGTAATGTTTAGATTGTATTTTCTGCAGATATTGATTTACACGAGGCTTTTAAATATCCTGATATATTAAAAACAATGTGAAATCGTGCTTTTTGAGTATTTACTTTTTAAGGCAATAATTCTATTGAATTTTTGGCGGTTATCGCTATTATTATTTTTTTTACAGCAACCTAATCTCGCAGCGAAACACTTATTTGAGGAGTCCGATTTGCGTGATTATGTCATCGATCTTTTTTGTGGCAGTTACTAATACATGATCTTTCATTATTATTTTTATTGTGATGATTATTTACGGAATGCAACGAAGGAAATAATTTGTTCTCTCCCCGCCACCAAAATGCGAGAATATCACCTGTAGTATTAAAAAATAATTACTTGTTCAATTCAAAAAAATTTATTTAGTATTTTTTAAATACAACGCTTTTGTGGCTTCAAATTAATAAAAAATATATTTGTTATTATTAAAAGTAACTTGCAGAAAGATATCAGTGGAAAGTTTCGTCGCAGATAGCTCGAAAAAGTTATGCCACAAAGATTTAATCCATTAAAGCTCTAAATCAGTAATGAACATATTTTACTTTAAGCATTATTAATTTATATTTTCTTTCAGTTTGGTTAATTATCATGTGGTTACTATTGTAATATGTCTACCACTGCAAAAATAAAATTCCATTTCATTATAGTATTTAAGACATGTTAACTCGATTCTATGGTGGGATACCTATTCATAGATGAAGGTTGACATTGTCTATAATTACTATCTGCACGCATATATTTCTTGTTTGAAAGCTTTGTTCACTTTTTTTGTTATCAGACGTGTTTTTTTTTGAAGTAGTAATTAATATTATGCTTGTTTTTGCAGATCTTTTGATTATCTGTTTTTAGCGATAACTGCAAAAATAAAATTCCATTTCATTAGTATTTAAGACATGTTAACTCTATTCTATGGTGGGATACCTATTCATAGATGAAGGTTGATATTGTCTATAATTACTATCTGCGCGCATATATTTCTTGTTTGAAAGCTTTGTTCACTTTTTTTGTTATCAGAGGTGTTTTTTTGAAGTAGTAATTCATATTATGCTTGTTTTTGCAGATCTTTTGATTATCTGTTTTTAGCGATAACTGCAAAAATAAAATTCCATTTCATTAGTATTTAAGACATGTTAACTCGATTCTATGGTGGGATACCTATTCATAATTACTATCTGCGCGCATATATTTCTTGTTTGAAAGCTTTGTTCACTTTTTTTGTTATCAGACGTGTTTTTTTGAAGTAGTAATTAATATTATGCTTGTTTTTGCAGATCTTTTATCTGTTTTTAGCGATAACTGTTGCACGCAGCAATATGCTAAGAGCAAAAATTAAAAAATGCAACTCGATGGAAGATTAAGTCCAGTGTTTTAAATAAATATTCGTGTGCTCACAATATAGTAGGGGTGCACAACTTTTTTGAGTGAAGGGCCACCTGCACAGCACGAAGATTAACGAATGGCCGCATGCATATTTAGTCACGTTTGCAGCAAATATAATGATTTTTATCTAAACATTAGTGTTCTAAGCGCTAGATATTTTTATCAGTAAACTTAATAACATATTTGTAGAAAATTAAATACTTTTAATTATTTGAATTTATTTAAAACTAAAAAAACTGTTGCATTTTTTAAGAAACTTTTTCCATTTTTCACAATAATTAATTTATTAAATTATATATATATATATATATGCATAATTATTGGGAAGGGGGATATAAATTCAGACCAAAAAGAAGCTTAAAGAATGAAAGTGCAAAAAAAAAATTGCATTTTATAAAGTAATATAAATTTGAGTGAAATATTTTAATAAAAGAAAATTTATAATGTTTTAACGAAATCAAAAGAAATTTTTTATTGCGTTGTGGTCGCACATCAGCTCAGGCCACAAGTTGTGCATCCCTACAATATATTCATGAGTAATGATTGTGTTTAAAGGTATTGAATGAGGCAGAGAAAAACAGATTGGCAGATAATATTGCTGGTCACCTTGTGGATGCTAAAGACTTTATTCAAGAGAGGGCGGTCAAGAACTTCAGCCAAGCAGATCCTGATTATGGTAAACGCATCAAGGAGAGGCTCACCAAATTAAAAGTAATTATTTAATTCTCTTAATCCATTTTTCAAGAAAGAGTTCCACCTAATTTACAATTAAACGGGACATGCATCATACTATTATTTAATAGCTCCATAAATTTTTATTTAATTCTCTAATCCATTTTTCGAGCTATCCACAAAAAGAGTTCAAGCTAATTTATAGAGGGTGCGTAGCGTTGTGCTTAAAGGTGCTTATCTTCATTTTTTGAAAAGCCCTTAAAGGTGCTCTTTTAATTGGGTGTTTTTAAAAAGTGCTTCATTTTCCACTTTCCAAATTGAGATTTTTCGTTTACCATGTTGATTTTCGCTACAAATTATGCAGAGAGACACTGTTCACATTGTTCTATTCAACGTTTTCACAATTAATTTAACCCCAGCTATTTCGGCCCATCGTCAGTCCGTAGCATATGAAAAGGCCATTCGATTTACATGATTAAAAAATTTTTACGATTGTCAAAAACAATGCCATAAGTTTTTTTTTTTTTTGACGTGACGGTTAAAGCCATCAATTGTCAAAAACTTTCCAATCCTACCTAATTATGATATTTTTTTAAAGTGCTTAAAAATATTTGAATGCTTGAAAAGTGCTTAAAAGGTGCTTATTTTTTGTTGAATAATTTGGCTGTTTGCAATTATGTTAAAAAAGCAAATTCTCAATTAAACGGGACGTACTACAGTCAAACCTGTTTATCTCGAATCTCACGGGAAAGTAGAAAAATTTGAAATAGAGGTTTCGAGTTATACAGGTACTTTTAAAAAAAAAATTTTAATTTAGAAATTCTATTAAAAGTGCTCTAATTGTTTTTAGTAGAAAATATTGGCGTTTCTACCACATACATCTACTTAACATTTTTTTAACATACATTTAACACTGAAAGTAATTTTTCAAAGATTTTTGACGTATTATCTTATTTGTTTCGCTTATTCTTCTAAGGTTAGAAAGAACGCAAATCCCTCATAGCCAACATTTTCCTGGGATTCAAGAATAGTTTATGAGAATTCTGCAGCTTTTTCTACCTCTTTTGCTTTCACTTTTAGTTCATCAATAGTTACTTCATCTGATATTCCTTTGACATCTATGATTTCCGCATGTTGCCAGGCAGTTGTCCACTTGTAAAAATCTTCCAAATTAATGTGAACATTAAATCCAAATTTTATTGCCTTTCATCCTGGCAAATCTGCCACTGCATTTTCAGAGTCAACAGCTTCTTATTCTTTACTGCAGCCTTCAACCTCTTGGTCATCATCTTCACAGCTATTCTTAAAACCAGCTTTTTAATACCATTTTGGATAGTTTTTAGAGACTCGTTTCTCCAGGCAAAACAGTCATTCTGATAGCATCTAACGCATTTATTTTTTGAGAACTTTTTTCATCGATGGCATCTGCAAGTTAGCGAACCAACTGTTTTCTTTAGTTCACTTCTAGTTATCCTTTGATCCATTGGTTGAAATTTTGAGGTGAAAATGAATTTTTAGTTTTCTTATCTATGTTGAACAGCTGGTGGTCCCTATTCATTCACTTACTGACAGAATCACTGTATTCCTTTCTACTTAAGGAAGTGTAGGGATAGTAATTGAAACTCCGAAAAACACCTCTTCATCCCTACTTCCTGTGGGTTCATCTCTGTCTGCAAGTTCTACTGAACGTTTTGATATTTGTGCTCTGTTATTATAAGTTTGAGAAACTGAGATTTTGAAAACACATTGATGGAAAATGCATTGATTTTAGATAGACATTGTTGGGAATTATAGAAATTTTGAGCTATAGAGGTTTTAGAGATAGAGGTTCCAGATAAACAGGTTCAACTGTATTATTTAATAGCTTCATAAATTTTTATTTAATTCTCTAATCCATTTTTCTAGCTATCCAATAACCTGGCAACATATAAAACCTCCAAATTCTGTTCTTTCTTTAACTGCTAATGCATAAAATTTATAACTGTTATATTTATTAAAATTTTGTAAGATTCTTTTGAGTTTTCATATTTTGCCAAATTATTTGATTATGTTCTTTGGCTTGATTAAAAAAAGCACCTAAAATAGACGTGCGTGAGATGATTATTGTCGTGTCACTTTCGATTCTAGCGAGGGTCCATCAAAAGTTTTGCCCCCAGAAAAGTGCGATCATTAAATAATTCATCATTCAAACTGCACTACATTCTTTTCAGATGCTAAATTCGGTTATGGAAGAATTATGGAAGTGATTCAATTATGGAAGAAAAGGAAAATACAGTCAAACTCCGCTATAGTGAACCTTCGAGGGACCGGTTCACTATGACCGGGAGCTCACACTATCCGTACTGCGAACAAGTTTAACTCATTTTTCCGAACTGCTCCCTTTCATGACGCATTATTTAAATAAATGAGCCATAAAAAGAAATACAAAAATGATTGAAAAACAATATGTATGAACGAAAAATGTGTTACTTGCTTACAAAAAACGTATAAATGGCCTTTATTTTGGGAAACTGAGATAGAAGAAGCAAACAAAAAAAGAATGCTCAATCGATGGTTTTTAAAATCGGTGTATGTATTTTATGAAGAAATTTCACAATGGCCAAAAAAATGAAGAAAAAAAGTTCATACTGTAAAATTTCCTCTCTTCTTTTAGTTCACTCTACACAAAAAATATTATATGTGTATAGCACAAGGCACTCTATCCGAGAGTTCAATATAACGAGGTTTGACTGTATCATTAAATGAAATAGAAGAGCATTACTTCACAAATTTAGCACAGCTGATAGGCCTCATATTTTAGTGTACATATTTTACCTTACATTATTTTTTAAATATGTTTTTCATCCATCTTTTTTTACATACTCCAGTAGCTCTTTTATTTCTATTGTATAAGTTGCATTAAATGTATTAAATTTTTTGTGTTCCTAATTTAGTGAAGTGTCTCGAATAGAGGATAAAAATTAAGTTCAAACTTTCTGCTCCCCGGGGGAAATAGACTAATAGTGTGAAAAGTAAGCTTACTCAATCTGATAGCAAGGTTTGAATATGCAAAAAAAATAAAGATTAAATTCAAGAAGTGTTTATTTAGTTTGTAACTACTATATTAATGCCTAAAAAAAATGTGGAATAAAACCATCTTTCTTTAATAGCATTATTAAAATTAAATAGTTTCAAGTTAAATGTTTTTAAGGTATGTAAAACTGATAAAACTTTTTTTCAAAAAAATGTCTGACCTACATTTACGTGTAGCAAAATTTACTCTTGCTGGCAGTAAAAAAAAATTCAAAATTAAAAGGTATGTTTTTTAAATTTAATTTGAAACTTATACAATAATAATTAAAAAAGAAAGAGGGGAAAATGAAATAAGTTTGCACACTAAAGCCTGAAGTGGTAGTTCATATTTGTTTATTACATTTATTATATTAATTTATTAAAATATTATAAATTCTGAAAAATAATGTGTTAAACAATTTCTTGTTTTTTTTTTTAAATATTCTTTCTTAAATATAGCCATATCAGTAGTTACAAATTTTTAAAAATTAAACTTTGAGTAGAAATTGACTTCCAGTCAAAGTTAATTCATCCTTCAGTGTAAATCCTTTTGCAATATTTTTATTTTCGAGCATTCTTAACTTTTAATATTATTATGTGAGAGAGTCTGTTTGTTCATTGCTATATACAGGGTGTCCTGGAAAGTCATGAGAAATCACGGATTTCGGTATTGAATAAAATTTGTCATGATTTTAACTATATTTTTTAAAAAATCATTTAAAGTCACGGATTTATGTTGCCGAAAAATCTAATTTTTAAAATGGAATTTACCCCCTCCATTATCATATTCTATTAAAATATGAAATGTTTTATCATGTTCTTTAAAAATGATGGTGTTTTTTCAAAAATTAAAGAAAAAACTCTTCAAGAGCAAATTATCTTTTAAACTTTTGTGATTTCTGAATTTTTATTATTTTTTTATTATTTATATTTTTATTTAACAGTTTAAAATTCTAGTTTAGGCTTTTTATATTATTTACTTTAAAGAAGAAGTAAAACAGCTTTAAATAACTACACCTGACAGTATCTAGTTGTTTGCTTTTGTATATTTTCATCTTATTTATTGCTTAATCTCTTTCTTTACTCTTTTTTTTTTAAATTTAAAATGAATAAATATGAAAACACAGAGTACAAAAGTTATGGTTACGCCTATCATTTCAATGAATATTATTATAACACTTTTTTAAATTTATTGTTGTGTTTTTGTGGAGAAAATGGTAATTTCATGGTAAGTCATGAAAAATTCTTGGGATTATTCATGGAAAGTTATGAATTTGAAAATCTAAAATGTAGCAGATTATATAACTGTATAGTATATATATAGTGTAGTATATAAACAGAAGACAATGCCATAGAGTACATTTTAAAGTGATTTTTTTTTTCCGCAGCAAGAACGAGCCAAGATATAAGGTCCGATTGATTTGTTTCTCTTTTTGGAAAGACTCTTCTGTTTTTATATATATATAGTGTAACATTCCTTTTATAAGTATAAAGTGATTTAAAATAAATTTACAGCTATTGTTTTTCATATGTTTGATTGTGTAGTTATTCTATTTTTAGTCATTCTTCCTATTTTATGTGTCATTTATGAAATTGGATGGGAGCAAAGTTTGTGTACTTTTGGGGGGGAGGGTTTGAGGGACAAAATTAAATATTTCTTGATTAATGAACTAGTAAGTTGGATGTAGATATAAAAAAGTTTTCATTTTCTTTGTAATTTACAGGGATGAGATTCTTCCGCGGATTCGCGGATTTCCGCTTTTTTTTTCAGATTTTTCCATTTTTTCAGCTAATTTCCGCTGAAATTTTTTTTTGCACAAGTTAAAATATTTTATGAGGAATTTAATTTTCCGCGGAGGGAAATTATTGAAGTCCCTTTTCCTCCCTCTGAAGTTTCTCTAAAAATCATTTCCTTGGGATAAAACTGGTTGACCTTTATACAGGGATGAGATTTTTTTTGTCTCTCGAATTTCAGCCTTTTTATCAAAAACTCCGACTCTCTAAAAGTTTCGTTTTTTTAAATAAATATCCCGTTTTTTTTTTAAAATTCAGTCATTGAAGTAAAATAATTATATTTATTTACGATTTTCAAAGATAAACAGAAAATTCAATCTACGCCCTAGCTGCTAACCCTTCCGCATTTTTACTTATTTTAGCTATTTTCTCCGATTTCACGCACAGAAAATAAGATTTTCCGTATTTTTTATCCGTCGGCTGGATAGCTCGTATTTTCGTAATTCAGATCTCGATTTTTATTCACGCGATTTTAATATCAATCATCGATTTTCGTATTTACCTGATTTAAAAGTTGCACATTGCGATTCTTATTTACGCTATTTAAATATCGTATATTATGATTCTTATTTACGACATTTAAAAATCCAATATCGTGTTTTGTATTTATGCATTTTTAAAATCTCGATTTTATTATCAAATCTCGATTTTCGTATTTACCTGATTTAAAAGTTGAACGTTGCGATTCTTATTCAGGCGATTTAAATATTGTACAGTGCGATTCTTACTTACGAGATTTAAAAAATCAATATCGCGATTTGTATTTACGAGCTTTTAAAGCCCTATGTAGCAATTCGTATTCACGTGAGCTTAAAATCCAATATCATGATTCGTTTTTGTGGTTGTAATATCGCGCGATTTAAAAATTATGCATCGTGATCAAAAAATTAAAAAATCATGATTTGTATTTTCGCATTTTTTAAATTCGATGTAGAGTTTCATATTTACGTGATTTAAAAGTCTCATATCGGGATTTATATTCACATGGTTTACATGTTTGAAAATCGCACTTTTTTGTCACATTTTTGTTTATATATATATATATATATATATAATATTTTTTTCGGATTTCCTCTTTTTTACTTTCTGACTACTCTCATCCCTGAATTTAAGCCTTTAGAATATATATACAGTCCCTTGCCATAATATTAGATGCACTTTAAGATAATCTTAATTATCAGGTGATACTCTGTACAGTTTTGTTGTTTTTACAAGACTGGAACCAGTTTGCACTTGTTTACGTTCGTGCATCAGTTGGTTAAAATTAGACGATATGTCATATAAATTGGATAAATGAGAAGATATATTATATAATATAGAATATTTATTATATCGGGGTATTAGTATATTATACCAAATGATTAGACACACTGTTTTTTTAAAAATTACATGTTTTACACTAGTTTGTATGCAATATTTTTATATTTAAACATTCATGTAATGGGTTTTTATTCAGAAGATTTTTTTTATATACAGTACAGAACCCGTTATCCGGAAATCAGAAAACCGGAATGAAATTCCATACATTTTCCCACCATTTTCAAAAAAAAAAAAAATTTTTTTTTTCCTCATAAGATTTCAGGATTTTCTTTCTATTTTGAAAGATGTTTACCTTACCATCATTTTGGAAATAATCGTTACTGTATTACTTCGTTTTAAGATTATTTCCAAATTTTTTATAACGAATAAAAAAAAAACGACTTTTTGTAGTGATTCCGAAAACCGGAAAAATCAGTTATCCGGAATAGCGATGGTCCCGATCGTTCCGGATAATCGGTTCCCTACTGTACTTTCCTATTTGTATTTATTTTTAATGTATTGCATTATCATGTTAACCAATTGATACACAAACGTAAACAACTGCAAAGTCTCGTTAAAACAATAAAGCTGTATAGATATCACCTGATAGTATAAGATTTTATATAGAATCTTTTATGCATTTAATAATTTGGCCAGTGAGTGTATAGTACAGTCGAACTCGTTTATAACGAGCACAAAGGGACCGTAACATGTACTCGTTAAATCCGAGTGCTCGTAATAAATGGGTCCTTAAGGCAGGCGTGCAACCAGAAGAGGGGTGGGGGGTTGGGAGGTCAAATTATTGAGTTTACATAAAATTTAATTAATACTTACTTACTTTAATTAATTTAATTAAATACTTTTCTTAATTTAATGATAACTATAACAGCAAAAAATTTCTAGTTGCACTACAGTCTTAAAGGAAAGAAGCAATAAACGGAAAGAAAAATAAAGGAAAAGATTCTTACCAAAACATTTATTCTTTTCATTTATCTACATATTTAAAATAGTTGTTTGTTAGCTTACTTTGAAGTTTCAGTTCGCGTTTTTTTTTTTTATTTTGCGCGCATTTCATATCATTTTGAAAAAAATATTGCTCGCTAAAACCGGGTCTTGCTCGTTAAAAGCGACTTCTGTTCCATAGACTTAACATTGATCCAACCAAATATTCTCGTTTCCCTCGGTAAATCCGAGTTCTCGTTAAATCCGAGCTCGTTATAAACGAGTTCGACTGTATATACACGCACACAGTCAGACCTCGATATAAGATCACACTATGGGACATCGCAAAAGTGACCTTATAAGCAGGGTGACCTTTTAACTGATTCATTAGCAGTTCGAAACTAAGTCCGTAAATAGTACACGTTATGATTTTTCAAAAATGGTAATACAAACGAAAACGATACATTAAATATTTAAGCCATAGTTAAATATTTTAGTCAATAAATTTTAACACAATTTGATAAAAAATAAAAGAAAGTTAGATTTTTAAATTTTTTTAAAATTTGAAATAAAGCTGTTTACAAATTTCCTCAAAGTGTGCATACACACATTACATCTTACCTTATTTAAAATAATCATTTATGCTGGTCTGTCTCGTTTTAGGTTTCATTTTTCGAACCATGTTTTCTAGATTTTGTAACTTCTCAAAATGTTCCTTAGCTCTCCCTCATGGTTTGTAAAAAAGTTTCGTATGACATTTATTGCATTGAAAGCTTCCGCTTGGGTTACAGTTTCAAGATCACTGTCATTGTCCTCACTGTCCACAACTTGTAAAGAATTTCAGAAATTGTAGCTTGTTCGTTGGCTGCAACATTTTCCTAGAATTCGCGAGGGGTAATTGCCTTGTAAGGAAGTTAAATAGGCTTTTGTTAGAAAAGAGCTTCCCTCGCCTCAGATATAAATGACCTTATAAGCGATAAAAAAATTTTAAAACTTGACCATGTATCCGATAATCTGTAACAGAGAATTCAGTGAGCCGGAACTTTGGAAAAGTGGCCTGATATGCGGATGACCTTATATCAAGTTCTGACTGTATAAAGCGTCAGTCATAAAACTGTATATTTTCGTCAAAAGATCAGGAGGGTGTGTATCGGTCACACATTTAGAAAAGGGTCTCCTAAAGTCGCGAAATTTTTTCTTTTCAAGCGTTTCTAGAAGTGATCAAATTGCAATAACATCGTATTATTATGGACATATTAAAAAATCACGTTGACCTGTTCGAGTCATATAGGCATTCTCAAGACAATCAGGGTAAAAAAAAGGATAAAACTGGTAGCCTAACTATTTTCACAACAGTTTATTTGTGGGCGGGGTGATAATAGTTTGCTTTATTTAATTCACCACTACTTAGTTCGAATTAGAAATTGTATTATTACACTTTTAACACACAAGGATTGGATGTGTTAGATTTAAAGTGAAAGCAAAAATAAGTCATTTAAATTTGTCATGCCCAAACTTAAGCTACCGCTTTTTATTTTATTTTTTTGTATTCTGATTCCGTACGAATACATTTGACTCTCCCGTCTCGAAAAGGTTAAAAATGGAATTGAAAAAGTAACTGCCGAAAAAATTATTAGAAAACGGCGTGGATTTATGAAGGAATCGTTACGGACCAAGTAAGTTAAAAGTGCGAATTCGCGTATCATGATAACTTCATATTAAGGACATGAACATTTGAAAAATTTCTGGAAAAATGATAAAACTTCAAAAACAGAACTGAAAATCGAAATTAGTAAAACAATGCGGAAACGATCGGAGAATGACGTGGTGAATGTATGATGGAATGGATCATTACAGACTCTTCAAAAAGTTTTACATCAAGTTTGAGATTCAAAACATGGGGATTCATTGAGACGGTTGATGACTGCCGGTGAAAAAAATAATTGGAAATCGACGACCCATCAAAAATGATTACTGCATTTGCCAACGCATCATGTAAATAATATAACAATTTGATATACAGAAAAAGACACTATGTAGAAGGGCCAAAAAAAATAAATAATCTGAAAATTATATTGAATATATGTTGAAATGGTCGCGAATCAAGTGCATCAAAAAGTGATAACTCAACAAGGCATTATGGTCCGGGGTGCCATTTCCTTTGACAGCCGGACCCCTTTGGTCGTCATTAGAGGTACACTTACTGCACAGCGGTACGTCGACAACATCCTAAGACCTGTTTTGCTACCGTTCCTTTTGCAGCTCCCTGGGCTGGTTTTTCAGCAGGACAATGCCAGACCACATACGGCACGTGTTGCTATGAACTGTCTGCAAGCTTGTCAAACTCTTCCTTGGCCTGCCAGATCACCAGAT